GCAAATACAACCAAAGTTCAGTTACCAGACTAAGAGAAAAGAAAAGAAAGGATAGACTGGTTCCTAAAAATGGGATTCACTAACTTTTCATCAAACATTCCCAACTTACTACATTCTCAGTAAAAAATATGAACTAACGACAAAAAATTGTCAAAATATCCTTCCCAAAACTTCTGTTCGAGAAACTTCTCTAGAACATAAAAACACAAAATTAATATACGTGTAAAGAGTTACAAATGTTTAAAAGATTGTTAAAAGATTGTTAAATACAAACACCTCGTGCATGTTAAAAGTCTCTGAAAGGTTAAAAATGTAAAAATGACTCGTTACAAAGTTGGTAATTCTAACAATACTAATATATACACACACATTTAAAGTTAAAAGTTTATTACAAATGACGTTAAAAAGTTATTGTTTAACCAAATTGACATTTCAAACAACAAATAATTTGAGCAAAAATATTCCTTCTCTTTTCCACAACATAAAGTCCAAAACAGTTCTACTCTCTCTTGACATATTCACAGTATCCTTGCTCGATGACTTGGGCGAGCTTGCTGAAGTCTGCACCTCTCTTCGTGAGACAATCCGCAACATATGAAACAAATTGGTCGTCACAACATATGAAACAAATTGGTCGTCATATGCATATACTTTCGCGGCACAATTGCATTTCATTTATTGTAAAAAACTTTTAGCTTGTGTGTTACTGGGCGGCGCTCAGCCTGTCGGCTGTCATTCCGCCGAATCTTTATTCGGGTTACCTGGGGACCTCATGAGGCTAATAGAGATTCGGCGGAATGACAGGCTGAGCGCGGCCCAGTAATATTCGGGTTGGGTGAATTACGACCTCCATCGCCCTGAAAAAAGTGCGAATGCTCATTGGATGTTAGAGCGCAGGTGACTCGCATTCGCGTGATCGTTCAGAACCAATTACAGCCGCGCAAAAGATCACTTGCACGCGCACACAAACTACCAATAAGAAAGAAGTGACGTATATGCGCTACAAGAGCCGCGCGCTGAGTCAGATTGTAAAATCGCATAAACGTGCCTATTTGCGCGTTTTAGAGGGTTCAATTACGCCATGCTATGTTTATGAACATAATAGCCTGAGGTCCCCAGGTAAGCTTGTGTGTTGATAGCAGTTGCTCTATTATCAGTAAAATCGTTTAATTGCACTACGACCACCGTGTAGCCTTGTAATACAAGTTAAGTACATGATGGAGGACACAGATTTTATAATGCAGCGTTTATCAGGACACTTTACATTTTTCAACGAAGCGCATGAGGATTTCAACGCTTTAATTTCGAATGTTGCAGAAGCCACGAACTGTGAAAATAGAACAAGGTTTTTAGTTGAAAAGTTTGAAAAGCCAGTCAAGAAGGTTTTATCAAATTTGATGTAAAATATGTACTATCAGTTGAATTCTGTCGTCGGTTGGAGGACTTCGCCGCTTCGACGCGCCGCGCAAACTAGCATTCTTGCTTCGCATCGACGATCGTTGCTCTGCTTCGCAGAGCAACGATCTCGACGGATTGACATCGTCAATCAAGTCGTCGGAGAAACTTTGAATGTTGTAGCGCGATGCACTACTGGGTCGCGCCGCGCATCAAATAATTCCTCTCGCAAATCGGTAGATCGGCGAGATGCACCACTGTCCCTCACCGAGCTGCGAAGGATTGACATCGTGAATCAACTCTGAATGCAATGAAAGATGTTGAGGAATTGAAGAGTTTTCTCATCCGATCACAAGAGTCGGTTATCAAACTAAAAAGGGAACTTCTTGAAGCCAAAGCCAATCAGTTGGAATCTGTTCAGACCACCGTAAAATCTGCTGTTCATGACACTGTTCAAGCTGAGATCAAGTCATACAGTCAAGCTGTGTTAAAAGCCTCGTCGAACACTACAATAACGGAGGAGAGCCTGAAAAAAGTTTTGAAGAAGGCTGTGTCAGAAAAGTATCGCAGCAGGAATGTTCTCATTTTTGGTTTAAAGGAGACAGATGAAGAGAAACTATCAGACAAAGTAGACGAACTGTTTGAACAGATTGAAGTGAAACCACACTTCGAAGCTGTAAGGATTGGAAGGAAATCAGCTGACAAGACCAGACCTGTCAAAATCTTGTTATTGGTTATCAAATTCGAATACTGTACATCAGATTTTATCAAAATCGAAAAACCTGAAACTGAGTGAGCAGATCCGATATTATATCAGAAGTGGTATTATTTGTTGTGAGGACAATATATCATAGTGAACGATGCATAATCATGAAGTTTTTCTTGTGTGTGACTTAACGGGTGGTACTCGTAAATTTTTTGTTCTAATTATATAAGACTGTCGACGAGTCTAACTCGGCGCACGTCTTGGTAGTTTATAAACCTTAGGTGTGACTCAATTTTTTATCTTTTATTGTCAAATAAAGTACATTGGTTCTTAAATTTTTATGAGATCCCAGTTTATATATTTTAAAAAAACTTTCTGTTCTGAGGAGGAGAGAAAGTTTTTGTGGAGAGCCGCTCAGATATGGGCACCGTATTGTGTAAATTATTAAGGTATATTTTATGCAATATCTTTGTCGCATACGAGCGGGGTAGTAAATATTGTGTTTCGTTTCGTTTCGTAAAAGGTTTATAAATAATAATTTCAAATTTTTAAATCCAAACTTAAAATTTCATCCACAATTTTTAATTTAAATTTTTTGAAAATAACTTTTCTTCTGTTGTAGGTTTATTTTACCTACCATGACGCGCGTCGAGTTGGACTCGTCGACGGTCCTAATATTTGAAACAAACATTTTACAAGTATCACTTACCTGGGGACCTCAGGCTATCATGTTTATAAACAACCGCCGATTCGAATAGAAGGGGCCCTTCGTTACACCACTGGGCTGATCGCCACCCAGTAAGGCTCAACATTTAAAAATTAGTATAGGGATTATAAATCAAGAGGCTTGCATATAATGAACATATTGACATGGGTGCAGAGTTGAGTCTGTGTGGAACCCAGTAGTTTCAGTTCCTTGTTTAACTTGCCGTAAAGCAAGGACATCCACTACTTTAGCCAGGCGGGGCACATATCTCACTCTACAACTCCATGTCAAATGTTTCATATATATACTAGCCAAGTTCACAAGATATATCCTTGTGTTTGAGAAGCGCTCGTTAGAACTGCTTCCTTTCCCTTCAGTATCCCACAGTCTCTCGAGTTTCGTAACTGCCAGAGAGCTCTCTTGAACAATTACTAGACCCGGTGATTATATTTAACCCATTACTAGACCCAAGATATTCATTTAATTATCCTTTTTTACTATTATCATAATTGGTTACCTGGGGACCCCAGGCTATTATGTTCATAAAGATTCGGCAGAACGACAGGCTGAGCGCCGCCCAGTAACATAATTGGTTTCCTCGCTTCTTCTTCAACATCACAAATAGTCAATCCAGTCACTACGTCGTCCACCTAGCAACCAAAGAAAAGAAAATAATATTTAATATAAAATGATACATTAAATCTGCAAATCAAGTTATGCAATTGGCAGAGCTCAATACGCAGGTAACAGAAATGGTCCATTGCTACCTATATTATTTGCAATTTCAATAATATGTTCATTTATCGAGTGTTGCCTGAAATGTTTAAGCTACAATACCGAGAATAAATGTCAACAGTCATATGATTCGCACGATGAAATGAAATTGAATTGGATGAATCCCACATGAGTTTCTTTGACAGCTTTTCCACTGACTCTTCGAACAGTTATGAAAACGCATTGAAGTAGAGAGAAACAATTAGTCTTATTCATATGAAGCCTATCATGTGAGCACATTCCTTACCTCTTTTATCTAATATTCTGACTGCTACCCGCTTAATGATCATGGTGCAGCTTGGTCGTGAGCCTCTTGTTATCAAGAAGACAACTAGACAAGGGGTTTCCAGTACTCTATCTTAGTACAGGACTCTTTTTTCCCATTTTTGTTCCTTGCATAAAAGGCAGGAAGACTCGCGGTAACATTTTATATGGCATACGGATGGGATACCCTTACATCAAAGAAAGTGCAGTCAAATGTTGTCTGAAGACAATTTAACTTTTGTTAATAATCGGACCAACCTTTCTTTCTCTAAACATGTATCCTACTGTACTTCATTATAGTATTAAGATAAAGCAAATGTGAAGATATTACAACGAAATAGATTTATTTATATATATATGGTTTTAGATTTTGTATGTCGTAAGTATTTTAATGTGAAGCGTTTACTCCTCCCCCTCAGCAAGACAGTTAGATTGTAGATTAATGATAATAATTGTCAAATGATGTTATATATTATATAACAGTTATAAATGTTCAATAGTTGTAGAGCGATTTCAAGAATAGTGGTCCACAGGGGTCCGAAAAAGCCGTACAGGCACTTGGGTCCTTATCCTTGTCACTAGTTTCAATTGGATTCAGTTTACACAAAACATGAACATTTGGACATACACATTGACACGATATTTATTAGAAAGCAAAAAGTATAAAATAATACTTTGGATGGATGCGCGGCGTATAGGGGCTGGAGTACGCTTGTTTATAAATTAATGAAATGTTGTATATTGTAAAATTTAGAATTGACGATATATTATGATCTAATATAGTAAATTTTACAAAGCTGGCTTTGGATTTAGGTAAGATTGTAATTTATTCTAAAAACCACGGATAGTTTTAAATTTACTTCTATTTGTTGTATAACTATAAACAAGTTAATCCTGTTTTCATGAATGCGCGGCTTTGGCGGCCAGTTATTGACTTATAAAATTGAATTTGAAATAGAAATGTGGATATATTAAAATTTACTTTCAAAACGGAGGCTTATAAATATTATTATATTATGATTGTAAAATAAAGGATAAAATTTTAAATTTGTTTCACTGAAATTTGTTTCACTAATGATACATGATTGATGAGTTTTTTTCGAATTCTTTTCTGAGGAAGCAAGAATTTTTGGCTATAATGTCATTTTGATTTCTAGCTAGTAGCATACCCTTGGCCAACAGAGTTTCATTGACTGAACTGGTTCTGAAGGATCCTAAACTCTGCTCAAAATGTGTGCTGATTTAAACGTTGTCCAGGAGGTTAGTGTCCAAGGTTCTTAATTCTCATAACTTTTCAACTAGAATCATGCTTCCGTTATAGTAACTTTGTAGAACAAGAATTTCGCCGCGGTAACACCACGCACGATCAAATTTCCCTACTGCCTACAATGTAATTGTTCTACTTTATTGTATCCCCAATCCCAGAGTGGTGTTTGGCGCACGTGATAATCGTTTATATTATATTAGGCGTGCAGAACTTGTAAAATTCTGCGCGCATCTGAAGTGTCGCCGTCGATCTGTATGTGGTTTGGTTGTAGCTCATTTCATTTTTGCGCGGTTTTGTTTCGTGTTAACGATGCGTATCATGTCACGTCATAATATTGCATCGTATGCCAACTTTATTGACTGTAATCAACTATTCTGTTTGATGCTTACATCTACAGCACCATCAACTATCGACTATCGAGCCTTTGATTTTATATAGGATTCTTTAAAAGCATACCGCAATCTTGATCTTAGTTGCTCCTTGAATGTAAATGTAAAGTAACATCTTTTGTCAACTATGTTTTCGCTTTTTACCATTAAGTGTCGATCAACTGTTAAGTAATCAGCAACGAGTTTATCAGCTGATATCATAATTTAATTTGTTTCGACTTGCTGAATTTTATCACTTGGTAATTTATTAAGCTTGTTTCACCAAAATAACATTTACATTGATGATTGATCCGCTCTGATGATTAATATGCTATATTAGTCATTATATTATTATATTAATGAATAAGAGTGAATTGTAACCCGATGGAAACCTGTGTAACAGTCGTCAAGCACCAAAAACTGGTTGCTATGCCTGTAATTAATTAACACATAACAGGCGTCGCGCGCGCAAAATAGACTCCTTTTATACACATAATTATAGGGGAGTGGTCTATATTGCGAAGGAGCAGACTTTTGTCATCACCGTAGGACCGTCGGGCCACCTCATATATCCAAACCCGATTACTTATTCCCTACGATCTTTTTGCCTTCGGCAAGAGCAGGGAAAAAAATTTTTAAAAGCATGAATATAGATCCTGTCATGATATATTCAGCACGTGATATAACATTCAGCAACATTAATGGAGTGCTGCGTAGTGCTTACAATTTCTTTAGATGTGTTGTGAAGCTCACGTTGCGACTCACTAACCCTCTTCTGCAGGGCAACAGACTTCCAGCTGTCCAGCTAGGAGAAAGTGTACAAGAATACAGCAACAAATATGGAATGTATATCAATCCTGCAGACCGTACTAAGTACAAACATATTAAAGGTAAGATAATAAAATTCAATGTTAATTGGAGAGGGGAGGGAGAACATTCTGATAAAATTGTTTATTAGACATATTTTCACGAAAAAATTGATTCATACACTGCCAGAGTGGTTTGAAAATTGGACAAATAATGATAGTGGGTGACAAATTATAGCTAAAAATGGTATTCTAATTAATCCAATTGTGATATTGTTTTTCAATTAGTTTCCTAAATGCCTAGGTTAACAATAAAATGTCTAATACAGGGAAAGATCAAATAAGAGTCTATGTCGATGGAGTATTTGATATGTTTCATTTTGGACATGCCCGGTACATCATGCAGGCAAAAAACATGTTCCCCAACACTTACGTTATAGCTGGTGGTAAGAATTTATTTTTGTTAATAATCTTATATATACAGTCCCTTTTTGGTCTGATGAAATATTTAAATAACAGAATAAAATATCAAGTTTAGACTTCAAACAAACACACTGTTTAATTAAACGACAAATAATTGTGTTTGGTTTGCAGTTTCTGCAGGGTCTACAACTCTTGAGTTGAAAGGACAGACTGTGATGACGGAGGAAGAGAGATGTGAGAGTGTGAGACAGTGCAGGTACGTGGACGAGGTCATCTGTCCTGCACCTTGGTGTATTAACAAGGAGTTCCTTCACGAACACAATGTAAGTTACTTGTTTCCAGGTTTAAATACAAAGAATATTTTTAGAATATTAGGGTTTTAAAAAAATGTAACTTTTTTGGCACTTTTGAAGTCTGAAACATTGTGGCTGATGCCAAATATTTTATTTATCATTGCATTCCAAGATTACATGTCTGAGATCAGACTCTTATCTCGGATGGAATTTATGAAACGGTAGTGGAACTGACGTGCAATTGGCTGTATTTCAAATGCAGATCAAATATCATTAAGCCTTGGAAAACTAATCTAACAACAGGTGGCACTCGGCAGACTTTTTGTTTGGCGGAAATCCAAGAAACTATGATCATGAAGCCTCCTTCTACCAAATGTATTCCCATTTCAGATCGATTTCGTAGTACAGAACGATGCACCTTACCCAATGGGGGACAATCCTGACATCTACAAACCAATTAAAGATGCAGGTTAGGTAAAGTTCATAAACCATTATCAATATATCCAAGTTTAACTTGTTATGGTTGGTTGAACATGATTATCCATGAATACGGGTCACCACTCAACTATCTCTACAGAGTACAGACCTATCATATTTCCACTAATATGAAGGGGGGGGGTGTCACGTCCGTCTATGTCCGCTTGTCTCATAGAATCCAAAAAGGACAGGACATAGGCGGACATAGGCGGACATAGACGGACATAGGCGGACATAGGCGGACATAGGCGGACATAGACGGACATAGGCGGACATAGACGGACATAGGCGGACATTAATGGACACCTAAATTGCTAAATAAAATGTTCAATTTTTGCTGTTATAGGGGGATCATGTTTTTTGTCCGTTCGGTACCCTATATTTTCAAAACGGACAAAAAATAGAGCGGACAAAAACGGACAAAAATGGACAAAAACGGACAAAAATGGAAATAACATTTAGATGCTTCCTCCTCCTACTCTTCCTCCTCCTCCCCCTGGGTCTTCCTGATCTTCCTCAGTCCTCTTCCTCCTCCCCTCCTCAGTCCTCCTACTCTTCCTCCTCGTCCTCAGTCCTCCTCATCAGTCCTCAACAGTCCTTCTCCTCCTGAGTCCTCCTCCTCCTGAGTCCTCCTCCTGGGTCCTCCTCCTCCTCTTCATCCTCCTCCTCTTCCTCCTCAGTCCTCAGTCCTCCTCAGTCCTCCTCCTCATCCTTCTCCTCAGTCCTCCATCCTCCTCCTCAGTCCTCCCCCAGTCCCCCTCCTCCTCCTCCTATTCAGTCCTCCTCCTCCTCCTCCTCCTCCTTCTCAGTCCTCCTGAGTCCTCCTCCTCCTCCTGAGTCCTCCTCCTCCTCCTCCTCCTCTTCCCTCTCAGTCATCCTCCTCAGCCATCCTCCTCAGTCCTCCTCATCAGTCCTCCTCCTCCTGGGTCCTCCTCCTCCTCTTCATCCTCCACCTCTTCCTCCTCGGTCCTCAGTCCTCCTCCTCCTGGGTCCTCCTCCTCATCCTTCTCATCAGTCCTCCTCCTCCCCAGTCCTCTCCCAGTCCCCCTCCTTCTCCTCCTCCTATTCAGTCCTCCTCCTCCTCCTCCTCCTCAGTTCTCCTCAGTCCTCCTTCTCATTTCTCCTAAGTCCTCCTCCTGAGTCCTCCTCCTGAGTCCTCCTCATCTTCCTTCTGAGTCCTCCTCCTGAGTCCTCCTCCTCCTCCCTCTCAGTCATCCTCCTCAGTCATCCTCCTCAGCCATCCTCCCCAGCCATCCTCTTCAGCCATCCTCCTCAGTACTCCTCCTTCTCAGTCATCGTCAGTCCTTCTCCTCAGTCCTCCTCAGTCCTCCTCAGTCCTCCTCCTCCTCATGGGTCCTCCTCCTCCTCCTGGGTCCTCCTGGGTCTTCCTGATCCTCCCCAGTCCTCTTCCTCCTCCCCTCCTCAGTCCTCCTCCTACTCCTCCTCCTCGTCCTCAGTCCTCCTCATCAGTCCTCAACAGTTCTCCTCCTCCCCAGTCCTCCTCCTCCTGGGTCCTCCTTCTCCTCCTCAGTCCTCCTCCTCAGTCCTCCTCCTCCTGGGTCCTCCTCCTCCTCTTCATCCTCCACTTCTTCCTCCTCGGTCCTCACTCCTCAGTCCTCCTCCTCCTGGGTCTTCCTCCTCCTCTTCATCCTCCACCTCTTCCTCCTCGGTCCTCAGTCCTCCTCCTCAGTCCTCCTCCTCCTGGGTCCTCCTCCTCCTCTTCATCCTCCACCTCTTCCTCCTCGGTCCTCAGTCCTCCTCCTCCTGGGTCCTCCTCCTCATCCTTCTCATCAGTCCTCCTCCTGAGTTCTCCTCCTGAGTCCTCCTCCTCTTCCTTCTGAGTCCTCCTCCTGAGTCCTCCTCCTCCTCCCTCTCAGTCATCCTCCTCAGTCATCCTCCTCTGCCATCCTCCCCAGCCATCCTCCTCAGCCATCCTCCTCAGTACTCCTCAGTCCTCCTCCTTCTCAGTCATCGTCAGTCCTCCTCCTCAGTCTTCTTCAGTCCTCCTCCTCCTCCTGGGTCCTCCTCCTCCTCCTGGGTCCTCCTGGGTCTTCCTGATCCTCCCCAGTCCTCTTCCTCTTCCTCCTCAGTCCTCAGTCCTCCTCAGTCCTCCTCCTCATCCTTCTCCTCAGTCCTCCATCCTCCTCCTCAGTCCTCCCCCAGTCCCCCTCCTCCTCCTCCTATTCAGTCCTCCTCCTCCTCCTCCTCCTTCTCAGTCCTCCTGAGTCCTCCTCCTCCTCCTGAGTCCTCCTCCTCCTCCTCCTTCTCTTCCCTCTCAGTCATCCTCCTCAGCCATCCTCCTCAGTCCTCCTCCTCAGTCCTCCTCCTCCTGGGTCCTCCTCCTCCTCTTTATCCTCCACCTCTTCCTCCTCGGTCCTCAGTCCTCCTCCTCCTGGGTCCTCCTCCTCATCCTTCTCATCAGTCCTCCTCCTCCCCAGTCCTCTCCCAGTCCCCCTCCTTCTCCTCCCCCTATTCAGTCCTCCTCCTCCTCCTCCTCCTCAGTTCTCCTCAGTCCTCCTTCTCATTTCTCCTAAGTCCTCCTCCTGAGTCCTCCTCCTGAGTCCTCCTCCTCTTCCTTCTGAGTCCTCCTCCTGAGTCCTCCTCCTCCTCCCTCTCAGTCATCCTCCTCAGTCATCCTCCTCAGCCATCCTCCCCAGCCATCCTCTTCAGCCATCCTCCTCAGTACTCCTCAGTCCTCCTCCTTCTCAGTCATCGTCAGTCCTCCTCCTCAGTCCTCCTCAGTCCTCCTCAGTCCTCCTCCTCCTCCTGGGTCCTCCTCCTCCTCCTGGGTCCTCCTGGGTCTTCCTGATCCTCCCCAGTCCTCTTCCTCCTCCCCTCCTCAGTCCTCCTCCTACTCCTCCTCCTCAGTCCTCCTCATCAGTCCTCAACAGTTCTCCTCCTCCCCAGTCCTCCTCCTTGGTCCTCCTTCTCCTCCTCAGTCCTCCTCCTCAGTCCTCCTCCTCCTGGGTCCTCCTCCTCCTCTTCATCCTCCACCTCTTCCTCCTCGGTCCTCAGTCCTCCTCCTGGGTCCTCCTCCTCATCCTTCTCATCAGTCCTCCTCCTGAGTCCTCCTCCTGAGTCCTCCTCCTCTTCCTTCTGAGTCCTCCTCCAGAGTCCTCCTCCTCCTCCCTCTCAGTCATCCTCCTCAGTCATCCTCCTCAGCCATCCTCCCCAGCCATCCTCCTCAGCCATCCTCCTCAGTACTCCTCATTCCTCCTCCTTCTCAGTCATCGTCAGTCCTCCTCCTCAGTCCTCTTCAGTCCTCCTCCTCCTCCTGGGTAGTGGGTCCTCCTCCTCCTCCTGGGTCCTCCTGGGTCTTCCTGATCCTCCCCAGTCCTCTTCCTCCTCCCCTCCTCAGTCCTCCTCCTACTCCTCCTCCTCGTCCTCAGTCCTCCTCATCAGTCCTCAACAGTTCTCCTCCTCCCCAGTCCTCCTCCTCCTCCTGGGGCCTTTTCCTGGGTCCTCCTCCTGGGTCCTCCTCCTCCTGGGTCCTCCTTCTCCTCCTCAGTCCTTCTCCTCCTCCTCCTCAGTCCTCTTCCTCCTCTTCCTCCTCCTCCTCCCTCTCAGTCATCCTCCTCAGCCATCCTCCTCAGCCATCCTCCTCAGTCCTCCTCCTTCTCAGTCCTCCTCAGTCCTCCTCCTGAGTCCTTCTCCTCCTCAGTCATCCTCCTCAGTTCTCCTCCTCCTCCTCGGTCCTCCTTCTGGGTCCTCCTCCTCCTGGTTCTTCCTGATCCTTCTCCTCCCTCTCAGTCATCCTCCTCAGTCATCCCGCTCAGTCATCCTCCTCAGCCATCCTCCTCAGCCATCCTTCTCAGCCATCCTCCTCAGTACTCTTCAGTACTCTTCAGTACTCTTCAGTACTCTTCAGTCCTCAAAATGTTTGTCCGCTAATGTCCACCAATGTCCGCTAATGTCCACCAATGTCCATCCAAGTCCGCCAATGTCCGTCCGGGTCCGCCAATGTCCGTCAGAGTCCGCCAATGTCCGTCCGAGTCCGCCAATGTCCGTCCGAGTCCGCCAATGTCCGTCCGTGTCCGCCAATGTCCCAAAAAACACGTCCGTTGTCTCATAGAATCCAAAAAGGACAGGACATAGGCGGACATAGACGGACATGACACCCCCCCCTATGAAATACAATTTATGATTAAATAATCTAACCACGTGCATCCATCTTTTAGAAATATAGTTCTTTGGTATTCTCATTGATGATAATATAATATATATATAATAGTATATATCATACAAGTCATCACTCAAACTTATAACACGTACAATACAATATAATATGATACAGTGCACACGTAATGTCATGGATCATATTTCAAGTTTGATCAAATTTAAACACAATACAAATTTTGTATTATAATTACAAAGTTATGGTTATCGCTTAACTTTCCAGTCTGACGACCATTTAACCACTCTTATCAGAGTTGAAAGTTAAACTCTTTGAAATACCAGGTATGTTTCTGCCGGTTATCAGAACAAACTCAGTCTCAACGTCCGACTACATTACTCGGATTATTGCTGAGTATGACAAATATCTCCAGAGGAATCTGGAACGTGGGTACTCCCGCCATGATCTTGGAATTACATTTCTGAAGGTGCTCCTTAATTTTTGGTCGACACTCTGACAAGGAAAAAACTTCTTTTGCAGTAGTTCGAGATTTCTATATTAAAGTAAAGATAATATGCAAAAAGTCTTAAGTATCCGTTACAGAACTAAATCCTGCATTCTCGATTAGTTGTTAAAATCCGAATAATTATTTTATTTATTTAATCATTTTCTGTTCTACAGGAGAAGCGGTTGGAGGTGAGGAGAAGGGTAGAAGGAGTTCATAAAGCTATTAACGGTTATATCGCGGATTTTATGGAGTATTTCTACGAGCCCATTGTAAGTACTCAGATTGCTGTAATTTAATATTTTGCTAAGTTCTTACTTAGTCCTACTACGAATCCGTTGAATTTGTATGTAATACTAACTGCTATCCTCTCTGGGAAAGAATCGTACGATTTATATTATGATTCTACTATTCAATTTTCATGATGTCATCGAATCAGTATCACCTCATATTTTTGATGTGATTATATAATTTATCCTCTTTCGGACCATAACTCAGATAAATAGTGATTTAAATCATGTCGACTATCATGCTACTAGAGTTATTATAGAAAAGATGCTGAACGAAGTTGTATAACATATTTTGAGCCCCTGAAATTTCATATAATGACATTTCGATATATGCTTTGATATTAAGCCTTAATTTTGACGTTGCCCTAACCTGAACTTTACCTAGCCCAATGTCCATTGTCGTTACAATAATTTTGCAATCTCAATTATAGCACATGCAATCATACATTCTGCATAGAACGCACTCTGTATAGAACGCACTCTGCACAGAACGCACTCTAACTTCTCATCTGTTTCAGAGTCACAGAATAGTGGACTTCATCTCGCCCCAAAACTCGCTCCAAAACTCCCCAGTTGCCTCAGATGTGAGTGATCAAGAGGATGAGGAAGATGGAACTGAAAGTAAAAGCAAGAAACAAAAGGCGGAAGATTAACATTGAAACTGAACCAGATTTACCGGAATGGCTGGGCCATGGATATGTGAAAATTGAACAAAAAACTGCGGGAAATAAGATGCATGTTTTATGTATACTGTGTAGTGTATACATTGAAAAAAACACATATATAGTATACCGGTAATAAACATACCGGTATACGATATGTTTTTTAATACGGGTGTCTGATTTGTGTGATTTATTAACTACATAATATGTATTATGTACAACTAGGCTACAGAACTGTCCAATGAACTAATCTTCATTTTGCTCATTACTCAATATTGAAATATATACCAGTATTTTGCTTTAATTTTTTGTGATGTATTCTTCATTTTTTACCGATGATTTTGTTTGATCTTAATTGCTTCGTGAAAAATTATTATTGACTTTTTAAGTTTGAGTGAATTATGATTTTATGCGTGATTTTGTTAACAATATTCTGATAGTACATGTTCAAAGAATGATCAATACTAAATTTGCCAGCGTGCTATTTTTATGGTATTCTAACTTGATTTTTAGACGAACTTTTACTGTTTTATAAATTAATGAATATTGAAGATTTGATGATGCATTTTGATTACTTTTTGTCATCATGACATTATTTACCCAATTAAATAGTGCGGAGAAGTATTTTAATTAGGTTAATAATGAGTTTTACTTCTGATCAAGTTCAATAAGTTATTGTAACCGTACGGTTGAGTTATATTAAAGTCACTATTGTGTATGCAACCGCAATACCCGTCAAGCGGGTACAATACATTACAAAATACTTTACACACCTATACACACACACACCACATCAAATACGTAATTAATTAAAAACATCCAATACAATAATCTAATAAGCAAGGTTTTGTAATATTTACCCATATCTGTGGAATAATGAACCCTCCCTCTATCTCCATTATAACTAATACTGACCATATACAGGAATTGGTTTGTAGTTTGAGTTGTAGATAACTTACAAGGAAGGTTGTACAGGATGATGAACAAAAAGGAGAAAAGTACTATTGAGAAGATCTCAGATCCAGAAGAGTATTTCGAAAAGTCTGGTGTGAACAACGCTATGAGAGATGTGAGTACAGTTAAACCAGTACACACAGGCCTCTGAGGCGAAGCGATTGCATAGTATAGAAGAAAATAAACCCGGTATAGAATGGTTCACGTGATCCCAATCCCATGTATCTGCAGCCTCTCGTATACGCAACCGGTAATTTAATGGTGATTGAATTTATCAGTTAACGATTCGTTTCCGGATCACACTCTTTGACACGATATGTATTTCATCTAATGTAACGCTTTCTGATTCTGAGTACAATTATGTTACTTTGTAACGCTATGTTACGCTATGTAACTGTGTAATGCTAGTTAAAGTTAATTACGATTTCAGGTTATATCGTTACTGGTGGAGAATCGTCCCAAAGATCCGATAGCATTCTTGAGCCAACACTTCGGTTCACTTGTAGAAGAAGTAAGTGAAGTGTGAACATTACGATGTTATTGAATTATTTTATCGATTTAGTGCTGAACAAAAACGTGACTTGGTGCTTTGGATTGACTCACTGTTTGGTGTTTATCCTTGTGGTTTACTGTTGTCCTGAAACTTGATATGTTTAACCATTACACCCACAAGAATATCATAATTAAATTTAATGTACTAAAATCAAAATTGAGTAGGTGATTTGATTTAGAAGAGATGTCGAAGGACCAAGTTGGATTAATTTCATTAACAGTTTACAGAACGTAACAGTCACAATGTTTTGTTTATTTTGGCGGGATGTTTATGATAGATCATATAAGCACTGTCACATACAACATACATTCAAGTGTATGGTATCAACTAACGTGACAAACAGACGTCAACAAGCACGCTGTGTGATAGAATTGCCAGTGCAACTGCCAGTCCAAATAAGATATGTTGATTATGGCAGTCGCCACACTGATTATTGTGTATTTCAGCAGCTAGTTTATCACGCGCGCGCGGCCGGCGGCTTGTGCATGCCCTGCATGCAGTTAAAAAACGTTGTACGTAAAGTACGTGCCGTCGTGTTCATATCTGTTATCAAATCATGATTTCAGGTAAGTGTAATCGTTAGAGCTCAAAGGCTGGTTTGTTTGACACATCACTCCAGACCAGCTTTCTCAGATAACGTTATCAGCGCTTACAAAATACTTCGAGACAAAGGTATGTTCATTTCCGGGACTTGTTCAGTGCCAAAATGTGAAAACCTCTGCAAAAAAGCTAAGGTTTTAACAAATCTGATGGAAAATCATAGAAAAGAATGTACCCCTTAATCAATGAGAGTTTAAAACTGGACATAACCACTCATCTTTATTACAGGTTTGACTGGTAAGCTTCATAACGAACTGCTGAAAGGTTTATGCAATGGTCTACCTCCAATAATTGCAGAACGACTCCTTGAGAAGCTGAGTGAGTGTTTGCTGTTCAACATTTTAATTATTTTCTAATAATATTATATTATGTACAAATCCCATTTATGGTTTAAACTGGCCCATCTCGTAGTTGGAAGCGCAATCCTACCATTGTATCAACGGTCAGTGATAATAGTTAAAACCACGTTTACAGCAAAACGTGTACCACCTCCCCAGCAGGGTGTAGCAGCTACACTGTAGCTCCACATTTACCAGATATATCTACAGATTGCAAGGAGCTAGACGCTGTACCTCACCAACTGTTCTACAACAACGTTCTAACTTGTTTAGTGTGTCATGATTACAAGAAACACTCAGAACTTCTGTACAGGTGTGTGTGTCAGTGCCATTGTAGTGTTTGCAATGCCTGTTTATTATCCCCATTACGACGACGTGATTACATGTTATCAATTATACTGTCGAGCTTGAACAGGTACTGAATATGTTTTAACAGATGCACTTAAACTGTCACATGTTTGGCATAGAACAGTAAAAGTAAACTTTAACTTCAGGGAACTAGGCTCGGTGTGCGACAGAGGGGTTTGCGAGGCTCTGTTCCAACTGCTCGCCGAACACACTGAATCATCCAACAAATACGAACTTTCATCGTCTCTTATCGCACGTGCTATCTCCTCCGCAAACAACTACGGACAACAATTTATCAGTAGTGAGGAATTTGTAATCAGTGCCTTGGATACTTATGTGGATATGTTGCAGACTCCTCCCTGAGAAGACGAAGGAACTCTATCACGTGATTGAATCACCAGATGAACAATTTTGATCCTTGCCAGTTAACCAGAACAGAGTCTATTTAACTATGACAATAAAAAATGCTTTACTCTAATTTCATCTGAAACACAATTAACAAATCAAGAAAAATAACAAAACACAAGATATACCGCTCCTTAAAGTATTTATATATATATATATATATAAACTTTGCCGCCCTTATGTAAACGTAAAAGGATCACATTACATGCTGCAATCGCTCAGCGATTTACGCACAAATAAAGATTTAAACTAAAGGATGACAAAGTAAAAATCAAAACGCCGGATAATATTTTCAGACTATCCTAGTCACAGTTATCCAACATACATCTGCAAGTTTTTCACATAATGAATGGAATCATAGCTTTTCTGTTCTTGGGATAATCTTTGAACTCTTTCTTGTAGTTGCGGTGTTTTCCAAGGGCCCACTGCAACATTTGAGCGCCACCCACCAGTGCGAATAAACCAGCTGAAGAACAAAAAATTGTCAGAATTGTGTACTACATTAAAAGAAGAAATATCTATTAGAATTCATTATTTATTTGTAAGATATTTTCGTATTTGAGCTACAAATTAGAGTATAATTTTGTTTTCTACCCAAATTCAGTTTTAAAACCAGAATGACAATCCTCAGGAAATAAAGTAAAAATAAAAATGCCTGGGTTATAATACTCACAGAAGAAGGTTTGAGTCATCACAGCATATCCGACCCAACTTAGAACCTCATAAGTATAATTAGGGCAGGATACTAGGTTAAACAAAGCACAAAATGGGTTTCCATTCGGCTTGGGGATAACTCGGACCTTGCTTCCAGCCGGGCGCATGTTCTTGAATGCCAAGTGAGTGGACAGGTTACCGAGTTCTCCAAACTGAAAATGACAGGATTTTAGTTATATATTTTGATAAAATACAAATTTTCGACTTAAGTACAGTCTACAGACGTTTCGCAAGCCAGCAGTCAAATTGAGACATTTGAAAAATTGTGGCAGAGTAATCTGATATCAATTCATATTAACTTACGAAGTATATTGACAGTCCTACGTACACTTGTGTTTCAGTACCTGAAAGATATTTGATGTTAGTCAAAAACACAGGGTCATCACATTGTGGCGTTTAGCGTCATCGAATTGGCAACGTTTCAGCAGCTTTAACATCGCAATGCAATGTGACGCTTGGTCCCGTGACTGAGTCATCTCGGCTCCACAGCGCAGAGTGGTTTAGCTTTTTCACGCGATAACGTTACCACGTAACGCGTAACGCGGTTACGTATGGTGTCATGTGTAAGTTCATTCGTGAGCCGTCACAAAAGGAAAGATCTAGAAAAAGGGCTCAAACTGATTTTTTCGTCGTCGTACGTCAGAAATTCGATTAGACTAGCCGCATGCGCGTTTGCGCGCATGTATTGACTGCTAACAATATCGTAAAATGCTGTGGAGTTAATGCTTTAGCAGACTACATATTTGCATTGAGAAACTCATATTAATGAGTTTGCTAACCGAAAGCGAAACTGAGCAGTGAGCTGCACAGTTGCAAAGGAGAGGAGTGCAAAAGCAGGACTTAAACTGCAGTTTTACAGAACCCTAAATGCCTAATGATTAAATACACTTGCAGGTACCACCCGTATTCACACTCAGTATTGATTTTATTAATTTTCCAATTTACGAGATTGGGGACGGGTTCTATAAACAAACAAAGCTTACTTGGCACAGTGTAGAGAGGATGGTTGATGAAATAGGATATAAGTGAAGAGAAACCCCTGAAAATTAAATCATTGGGGTAAAATGAAAAATCATCATGATGAAAGATTTAAAAAAGATTTCAATAGGTTTAAACTTTAATCGGACCGAATCTCGACCCGATCCCGAGCGCCTTATAACTACGAATAGGAAAAGGGTTAGGAATTCGGTCCGCCACTCGAAAACAGGAGTGCAACTGTGATCTATCAGTTGTTCTGTAAACTTGGAGCTGTAAGAATGCTTCTATTTCCGTAGGGTTGCATTCTTTGACAAACTCAGCTCCGGAAAGAATGGGATAGAATTGGACAACAGACGCTTCGTGGTGGTGAGACTTAGTATCAGGTGATTTTGACTTATGAGTAGAAAGTCTGAGTAAAGTGCCAAATATGGAAATTTGCAAAGCGGAGAACCATCATTTGTAGCTCCACGTGTCTCACTGAATCGCTTCCAAATTTCTTAAAACCCGGCTAATTATTCAATTGTTAGCTTCAGTTATAATCCGTGGTTCACAATATCCAATGTAATAGGTAATAGCGCGGAGCTGTAGTCATAGCGGAGCTATTATAGTCACATAACGTGACCAGGTAATATTATCACGTGACTGATCACGTGATTGATAAAGCTCAGATCGGCCCGGCTTAGGAGCTGGACATAACCGAATAAGTCCGATAAAATCTATCTAAACGAAAGTTAGAGCTTTGTTTATCAGGAATTCTGAGGAACGATAATGACATGAGTATGACTCCCTCGATAACGATAAAATCACATGATCACAATATGTATTTGTAGAATGGAAAAGTTACTTCATAGGGCCGGGTGTTTTCTATGGTACATATTACATACATAGGACAGCCGCAGTGCCGCACCCTAGATGATAAGACATTCTATTAAGATAAGACATTATAAAAAGGAACTGCTAATTTCCAAGAAGACAAACAACACCTAACTTACCAGTAATAGGTACAGTTTTTAAACAGGTTTCCAATGGGCATAGTGCCCTTACTGAACCGGTGGATAAATATCGTCTCAAGTACTCTCTTAATGTAGTGTCCAACGTAACACGCACATGCCAAACTGAAATATTTATCTTTAAACGTTTCTAGAATCTTCTTGCTTGTTTTTCGAGACAAAACTGCTCAACTTCTGACAATATTGAGATAATAATTTAAGTGCATATTCAAATAACAGTTACACGACGGTCCCATGCTCCTAGTAGTAGGAAGATGTTCTGTCATCTCCACACTCTAGCAGCTATAAATAGAAAGTTTGAAACCTCCTATAAAACCTACTTTTGTACTGTGTTGTGAGGGGCTCCCTCGCTGTCCGGGTAAATCCAGCTACAATTTCTACTGAAGTAGAATATCAGGTATGCGAATATTGGTCCTGTGTATTCTGCTATAAATACCGTGGCCCACCCAATCTGCGGTCCTGAAATGAGGTGGTGATAGTGAAGTTTAGAGATAAACCGTGTCAACACGAGTCAGCCGCATGTCGCTAATTTGATGTTAAGTTCAATCCTTGCTAATCAGCATTAGTCAGTGTGAGTTTCTTATTCAAACTTAACGTACAATTCATGTGAAATTGTGTAAATCATCACTATTTCATTGCGCAACTTCTGTCCTCAGATTACATGATGACTAAAGAGTCGAGCACAATAGCTAAATACGCATATATTCAAAACCTGGAAAGGCGCCAAAACCTCGCCCTTACACTGTTACATCACTGGATCACTTTCAGGGCGTGATTTTGGAGTTTTTCCAACTGGTTGCTTGACAGTCTTGTAACAAGACGATATAATTATCAGAGTTAGATACGTCTCCAACATATATATTCATAAGTCGCATGATCTCACCATAATAATCTATTTAAATAACTGTGAGTGTACAAGAAAGACTAACAGTCTGCAAAAACACAACCAAACCTAAATCTTTGAAGTAGAGAACAGATCCGTCGGTTAAAGTTTCTATGTCACCAATCTTAACGTCATCTGTCAGAGCTTTATCTTTCAGTGAGAGTTTGTAGCAGATTCTCGAGGGGTACAGGTGTGTTTCTGGGGAGTTGTGAGATAAATATATAGCTGAGTGATTCATAAATTAACACATATTTCATCACTTGATTAAATCGATTACAAAAAATTAATTAGTAGACATGATTCGCTGAGGGCAGCTTTGAAGAAGAACACAAAATTTGTGTCTTCAGTTTTCGGAGCTTACTAGTTTTAGAATAATATAAGACTATAATACAAGAATTGAGATAACTTACTTTCTTTAATGTGCTTCTTCTTGACATCCAGGATTGAGTCTTCTTTTGTCACATCGACTGTTAACAACGTCTTCCCTGTTTTACCGTGAGCTAGTTCGATCTAAAGGGGAGAGTGTTTCTTATGGCGTGTCAGGAACTACTGTGATGTTGACTGTAAAGTGTAAACTGTTACGTTGAGTAGCAACTAGTAGTAGAGTCACACAGTACACACACATAGTTAGAAAAGCCCAAAATCGAAAGAACTTGTGATCTAATCTCTAGATTTTCTAGATAACGAATAATTAATGTCCTGTGATCACAGTTAGAAACATTATTTCTAAATCAGCGAACACAACCGGAATTATAAACAAAGTCAAGGTAATAACAAAGTCAAGGTAATAACTAATAAAGTAAAAATAAAGTAACTTGCCTTCATACTCTATATCAGAACTTTGCCCTAACACTGAACGTATTATTGTTAGAATAAACACAAAGCAAGTATACTGAGCTGGGTATTATATTAAAACAAAAGAGAACTGAGTAAGAAAGTGCGTACTGAAATATCGGTGCAAACATTTGAGGAAGTATTGCCTCAATACTTGGAATTACATTATGTATTGTACTGTCTTCAGTCTTGTTTGAGTATAATTACCACATTCTAATTTGTATAACAGTGCACTATAGCGTAGGTATTGCGTGTACACTGTACACACTCACTTACTGGTGAAATTCGATCAATAGTCAATACACTTTCTTGAATTGCGCAAATTCGAGAGTTTATTATTTACATAATGTTTAAGCTGCATGTAAGAGCTGCTGCTGTGATCACATGATAATTGATAAACAATGAAACGAGTATTTTCAAAGGGAAAATAAGTTTATAACGATCTTCAGACAAAATAGACATTATTCCCATTTATTATTATTTAAGTGCCAATTTTAAATAACATAATCATTAGCTAATAGCCGAGAGAAAAGTATCATACGTACTGTAATCTTAAGGAAGGATCATTCATACATATTATATTACGTAAGCCAAACCTAGGGGGGGGTGGAAAAGCAGTGTTACTTCTACACAATATCTGCGTAAAGTGGCGTATGGAGGGGGAATCTGGACTACCTAATATGTAAACGATCCCTAGACCCTAACACGACCTCGCTATATTTTGTCAATATTCCAAGAATAAGGTAACAGAAATTTGAAGGAATAAAACATCGTTTTAGATCATTCGTCACTATATATAATATGTATGTGTCGAGAAATTTATTACTAGCGAATGTTTTGATCAGTTCAATTTTACCTAGCCAGAACAACATAATGTAACAAGGTTTGTCTTGGCGTATTGCCAAATATTGTGACGTAAAAAGTAAAATGTACATTAAGTCACCACCTTGAAGAGCCTAGATCTTTGTAAAGTGTCGAGCAACATCTGATAATTTAGACCTCTCATAAATCAGTGCTATTTATAGTATCTGTTTCAGCAGAGTAACCTTTGTCAAGCGTAGAACTATATTTAAGCCTGGCCTCTGTGCGGTATTTTATTTGACGTCACTCAGTCTTATCCTGATTTAAAGTGATAACGAATTAAACGGAACTGAATAACCTAAAAATAGAAATTAAGACTCAAATAGATACTTATTATCGCTACTCAGGTTTAGTGTTCCCAGTGTCATGGGTCATTTGAAATCACGCGTCATGTAACAGAAAGAATACAATGACGTCAGAGATACGAGTTTAAGAAGCAACAAGTCAAAAGGAGGGAAAACTCCACACCCACCACCAAATGAGAGCCCATATGACCCCTCTAGGGTGTAACTAGGTGTTACTAGGTGTTACTAGGGTGTTACCTGGTGTAATACCAGGGCCCAGTAGAAGTTAACCCAACACGTGGTGATGGGTGTGTGGTCGACAATCTTTTGACATTGTTTGCGTACGGCGCGGAGGGATGTGATTTTATGCAGCGTTAAAAAATTTGACTCATTTCACAGATGGTGTACAATCTTCTTTCAGCTCAAGTCATTAATACATTGCATTTTCTGAGAGGGGTGGGACATTATTTTAGGGAGCTTTGAGTTAATTTGTATCTTAGACCACAAGTGGTGTCATTGTGTGTCAGCTCAAATATTCAACAGATGTTTTAATAAATGATAAAAGCAGGGATAAAAGCCGATAATTTTTCAGGAAAGCATCAATGCAGTACAGAGGCGCCCACATTTTGTATCCTTCTTTTCAATTTTTGGAAAAAAAGGTCAACTACTGGAAAGTGGGCACCTCAGTAACTGCTCTAACAGCTCTGTCCAGAGCCGGGATATTTAACAAGATCACTAAGTTGCTCATGCCCAAACTACTAATTACTTTTATGCTCGAATAAGTTAAGTTTTATCCGTTTTTATAGAGGTAACTTTGATTTGATATTTCATATTTGAAACAGTATTTGAGTACAATCATACGTTTGGCTAACGGATAAAACTAACGATATTAAATACACTAGTAAATCAATTCTGGACAGTTCATTAAAATATCGAAAGAATGCAAAGTTTAAACTCAACATTGACAGAGAAAAGAATAATAATTACGTACATAAAAATCAACTATCACTGCAGTCTACCTTACACTTTTTCCTTTTAAACCAGAGACTCAGAGAGGTTAATAGATTCCATTTGCGATCAAATTCTTTTTGACAACGAGCCAAGGCCCAAGGTTTTCGTTGAGAAAGTGAAAACTCCACCTTTGCTGAAAGCGTGAAAATTCTGCCTTAGTTGAGATCATAAAAAATCCACCTTTGTTGAGGGCGTAAAAACTCTGCCTTTGTTGAGAGCGTGAAAACTACGCCTTTGTTGAGTGCGTGAAAACTCCGCCTTTGTTGAGAGCGTGACAACTCTGCCTTTGTTGAACGAAATTGGCGACTTCCACATAACCCTTTGTTTGTGAAAACTCCGCCTTTATTGAGTGTGAAAACTCCGCCGCCTTTAACTTTGTTAATAGTGTGAAAACTCCGCCTTTGCTGAGAGTGTGAACACTCTGCCTTTGTTGAAAGCGTGAAAACTCCGCCTTTGTTGAGAGCGTAAACACTCCGCCTTTGTTGAGAGCGTGAAAACTCCGTCTTTGCTGAGAGCGTGAAAACTCCGCCTTTGTTGACAGCGTGAAAACTCCACCTTAGCAAACTGCATGAAAACTCTGCCTTTGTTGAGAGCGTGAAAACTCCGTCTTCGTTGAGAGCGTGAAAACTCCGCCTTAGCAAAGTGCATGATAACTTCGCCTTTGTTGAGAGCGTGAAAACTCCGCCTTTGTTGAGAGCGTGAAAACTCCGCCTTTGTTGTGAGCGTGAAAACTCCGCCTTTGTTGAGTGTGAAAACTCCGCCTTTGTTGAGAGCGTGAAAACTCCGCCTTAGCAAAGTGCATGATAACTTCGCCTTTGTTGAGAGCGTGAATACTCCGCCTTCGGAGCGTGAAAACTCCGCCTTTGTTGAGAGCGTGAAAACTCCGCCTTTGTTGACAGCGTGAAAACTCCACCTTAGCAAACTGCATGAAAACTCCGCCTTTTTTAAGAGCGTGAAAACTCCGCCTTTGTTGAAAGCGTGAAAACTCCGCCTTTGTTGAGAGCGTGAAAACTCCGTCTTTGTTGAGAGCGTGAAAACTCCGCCTTTGTTGAGTGTGAAAACTTCGCCTTTGTTGAGAGCGTGAAAACTCCGCCTTAGCAAAGTGCATGATAACTTCGCCTTTGTTGAGAGCGTGAAAACTCCGCCTTGATTGAGAGCGTGAAAACTCCGCCTTGATTGAGAGTGTGAAAACTCCGCCTTTGTTGAGAGCGTGAAAACTCCGCCTTTGTTGAGTGTGAAAACTCCGCCTTTGTTGAGAGCGTGAAAACTCCGCCTTTATTGAGAGTGTGAAAACTCCGCCTTTGTTGAGAGCGTGAAAACTCCGCCTTTGCTGAGTGCGTGATAACTCCTCCTTTGTTGAGAGCGTGAAAACTCTGCCTTTGTGCGTGAGAGCTCGGTCCCTCCTGCCTTCGTGCATGGGAGCTTGGTCCCTCCTCCCTTCGTTCATAGGAGATACCGAGCTCAGTCTCTCCCTTTGTGGGTGGGGGTCGGGATCTCCCTTCGAGCGATAAATCCAGTTTCTCCTTAAATTCGTTTTCTCCCAATTTGAGCGTGGGAGCTTGGTTAGTTCATTGGTGGATCTCCTACAGAAGCAAAATCAGTATAATTTACGTTCAATATTAAACTGAATTGGCATAATATCTCCGTCTCTCTTTGAGATTGGGAACTCAATATCTCTTCGGACCTGCAGAGAACACGTCTTTAAAAAAATAGAAGATGAGAAAGTGCAAGACAGTCTCATCTTCATTTCTGCACATAGGACATGCACTGGTCCTTGATTTGCAAATTTGCTATGTACCTAGGTGTTTGTTTAGACCACCATAGGGTGCACCGCAATTATCTTTAGATAAACGTCTCTGGAGACTTTGGAACACGCCTTTGTCGGTTTTTCGTTTGCATCAAGTGGCGTGAAAACTCTGCCTTTGTTGAACGAAATTGGCGACTCCCACAAAACTCTTCGTTCGAGTACCCATAGAAAACACCTCTTTTAAATGGTTTTTAATACTTTCAACACTACTATATAGTGTGAAGACACCACCTTTGTTAAGAGCGTGAATACTCTGCCTTTGTCCAGACTCCAGAGCGTGAAAACTCTGCCTTTGTTGAGAGCGTAAAAACTCCGCCTTTGTCCAGAGCGTGAAAACTCCGCCTTTGTCCACAGCGTGAAAACTGCGCCTTTGCTGAGTGCGTGAAAACTGCGCCTTTGTTGAGAGCGTGAAAACTGCGCCTTTATTGAGAGCGTGAAAACTGCGCCTTTGTTGAGAACGTGAAAACTGCGCCTTTGTTGAGAGCGTGAAAACTGCGCCTTTGCTGAGTGCGTGAAAACTGCGCCTTTGTTGAGAGCGTGAAAACTGCGCCTTTGTTGAGAGCGTGAAAACTGCGCCTTTGCTGAGTGCGTGAAAACTCCGCATTTGCTGAGTGCGTGAAAACTGCACCTTTGTTGAGAGCGTGAAAACTGCGCCTTTGTTGAGAGCGTGAAAACTCCGCCTTTGTTGAGAGCGTGAAAACTCTGCCTTTGTTGAGAGCGTGAAAACTCCGCCTTTTTCCACAGCGTGAAAACTCCGCCTTTGCTGAGTGCGTGAAAACTGCGCCTTTGTTGAGAGCGTGAAAACTGCGCCTTTGTTGAGAGCGTGAAAACTCCGCCTTTGTTGAGAGCGTGAAAACTCTGCCTTTGTTGAGAGCGTGAAAACTCCGCCTTTGTTGAGAGCGTGAAAACTCTGCCTTTGTTGAGAGCGTGAAAACTCCGCCTTTGTCCACAGCGTGAAAACTGCGCCTTTGTTGAGTGCGTGAAAACTCTGCCTTTGTTGAGAGCGTGAAAACTGCGCCTTTGTTGAGTGTGAAAACTCCGCCTTTGTTAAGAGCATGAAAACTCCGCCTTTGCTGAGTGCGTGGGAGCTTGGTCCCTCCTCCTTTTGTGCATGGGAGCTCGGTCCATCCTGCCTTCGTGCGTGAGAGCTTGGTCCATCCTGCCTTCGTGCGTGGGAGCTTGGTCCCTCCTCCCTTTGTGCATGGGAGCTCGGTCCCTCCTGATTTCGTGCATGGGAGCTCGGTCCCTCCTCCCTTCGTTCATAGGAGATTCCGAGCTCAGTCTCTCCCTTCGTGGGTGGGAGTTGGTATCTCCCTAAGAGCGATAAATTCAGTTTCTCCATAAATTCGTTTTCTCCCTATTTGAGCGTCGAATCTGGCCATGGCAATCTTTGCGACCAGATTCGACAGTGTCTGATAATAATGTCAAACCACCTTCATTTTTGATTTACGTGTCTCTGTGGGTCTCGACTCTCGATAACTCAGTTTATTGGTGGGTCTCCTGCAGAAGCATGATACCATGGTTGGTATCATCTACGATACTGTGGTTTGGCTGTTCTTCGTTTGCATCAAGTACGGGTTCAATCTGAAATATAACACAATTATTTTAAACTGGAGTAATATCTAGCTTGAGAGTTGAAAGAAGGTTGTGACATAAATAAAGTTTTGAATTTCAATTTACCATATAGACAGTAATCAATCAATTGAATAACCATTTTTTTTTCGAATGATAAATACCTCCGAGCGCAGGGGCTTGGTATCTACCTCCGAGCGCGGGGGCTCAGAAACTTCCTCTGATTGAGGGGGCTCAGAAACTTCCTCCGAACGCAGGGGCTTGGTAACTTCCTCCGAGCACAGGGGCTCGGTAACTTCCTCCGAGTGAGGGGGCTCACCACAGTATTGTAGATGATACCGACCATGGCCATGGTCGGTATCATCTACGATACTGTGGTTTAGCTGTTCTTTGCTTGCATCAAACGTAGGTTCGGTCTGAAATATAACGGAATTGTTTTAAACAGGAGTAATATCTAGCTTGAGAGACGAGTTGAAAGATGGTTGTGACATAAATATAATTTTTCAATACTAATTTACTATAATATCTAGTATCTACAGTACTCAATCAATTGAATAACCATTTTATCGAATGATACATTTTTGCATTAGAATTTGATAGATACTATTGTAAGTGAATAAGTTAAAAGAGAAGCCACAAAAGCAATTTTTGTATCCAACTAAACTTACTTCCTGTTCTTCTTCACTTTCACATTCTTCCTCACTTTCACATTCTTCCTCATCATCAGAATGTTCCAGCACGAGTGCCTCATCTTCTGATTCGGTCAAACTGGCGGGGGACTGAGCACCTGACCCTCCCCAATCCGGCGGGTAGGTCCACATCTCGTCAACTCTTCTCTTCTTCTCGCGCCTCCTCCTTAGCCACGTGCACTTGTGTAACTCCGCCTCCGTTTTGCACGGTCTGTCAGCCAAAAGACGTTCCATTGCTTCTCCACCTAAATCTTTGAGTTCAGCTTGGAGTATGGTGGACTCGTATGCTAATCGGTAAGCTTGCTTTATCTGTTCAGGACTTAGCATACTCCTAGAAGTTAGAGCGTACCGTGTTAAGGTTACATAATATTGTAACCTTAACACGAGGCCGCTTCATTAAAAGAGATACACTTTTAATGATAATTAAAATAAGATAACAGTCTGCAAGTAGAACAATGAAACCCAAAAATTGAAATTCAGACGCACATAAAAAGGTATATTATTCTAATCTTATATTCATCACAATCACATATATAATATGCCGTAAAATTTATCTTCACTCACTAAAGAAATATTACGTCAGAGTCTAAGAAGCAACAAGTCAAAAGGAAGGGAAACTCCACCCCCAGCACCAAATGGGAGCCCACGTGACCCCTCTAGGGTGTTACCTGGTGTTACTAGGTGTTACTAGGGTGTTGCCTGGTGTTACTAGGTGTTACTGGTGTAATACCAGGGCCCAGGAGAGGTAGACCCAACACGTGGTGCTGGGTGTGTGGTCGACAATCTTTTGACATTGTTTTTAAGAGAAATTATGACGCCGACGCAACGGCCCGGCCCGGGCGTCGCGTACTGACTACTGAGAGCTTGAGGGATGTGATTTTAAGGAGCATTTATAAAATTTAACTGGGTGAATGATATTTCATAGTTGGTGTCATCGTCTTTCACCTCAAATCATTTATAAACTTTCCAAAATGAAGTTGAAGATGTTCGAAAATTTTAGAAGCCTATCATGATAGTGCAACTATCAATGCAGTAAGTTACGGGGTCCCACATTTGTTGGCCATGCTATTATACTTAAGTTTTTAAAGAAAAATTTCAACTTGTAGAAAGTGGATACCCCGTCACAGCTATATAACAGCTCTGTCCAGAGCCAAAACACTTTACCAGAAAATTAAATTATCCGTTAAGTCTACTTAAATTACATTTTTTTGAGATTTTGTATGTACATTATTACATTAATTTAGCATCGTCTATTAGAAAAGTGCGGGTGGTAAATTTTGTCAATGATTTCTAAACAGTTCCATTTTCTTGCGTCAAAACTACAAATGCACATTTTGCTAACAGATAAAACTAAAGGTATTTGATATAATTATAAACTTAATCAGAACCAAAAATATTTCATCCCAATAAAGATTGTATTCTTTAGCTAAGAAAAATATGTTACAGATTACCAGCTTCATTTCCAATTAGAATGTTTGCGATTGAAACCATGATTTTTTCCACTTGTCTCAATTCACCCCAAAGTGGTGACCTATGTATTATTTTGATTGGATACCAGTCTTTTTCAACGTCCAGCAGTGGTCATGGTTATATCTATCGCAATCCTCTCCTTAGAAACAAATCTTAGTTACGAATATTTTTTCAGGCTTTTAAATTACCTTTGAAAGGTCTTAATATTTTATATCAGATAGAAAGGAATTTTGGATTATCAAAAAATAATGGCTTGAAAAATCCCGAATCAAATCTTCATTTTCATATTGAGAATAGTTTTATAGATCAAAAATTGGTAACACATGCAGAGTCTATTATTGAGTTCCTCTAAAACGTTTGAGGGCTCTATCAGCAATCCAGCTTGTAGCACTCTTTCTCTTAACCTCCTTCTCCAACTCCTCCAGCACCTTCTTATCTACAACCACAGTCCTAACTTCTACTCCGGCACACTAAGATATATCATTGGTAGATTTATAATGAAAATAGTGTCATACAAGAATCTAGTAAGTAAATAATAACATGACTCAATGAGCTCTAATTTGGAGATATATGGACTATTGTATAATACATTATATGGTTGACCTTAAGTCATTAAATTGCCTTATATCAATTAAGCCTCGCGTTATTCTAAAACTATACATGCACTAGATTCGTAAGACTGCGATTAATTTCACTAACTGATAAACTAAACTATAAGTAACCACTCCCTCTGATATTAGGACTATAACAGAGGGACATGTCGGTACCTAGACTTAAATGTGACTGAACTAACAAAAATAATAGTTACAAAAATGGATTTCATAAATCTTGCCTGGTCATCCGCTTCCTCCCCTTGATTGTTCTCCTCCTCCCCATCCTCCTTCTTCTCCTGATAATCGTTCTCCTTACCTGAATTATAGTTGAATTATATAATTGAATTATAAAATTGGATCAATAAATTTCATATTATTTAACATCAAAATTACTCTATATGAAACTACATCAACATACCATTCTCACCTAGCCACACATCAACACCCTCTGAATCACTACCGTAAAACGGCCAAGCTGCTGCCATTGTCTCCGTTACAACCGTCAGGACAATTGCTTGCTTTATAGGGTCAACCGGATTCTGTGCAGATTCTATACGTCTTGACAAATAGTCTAAGTTGGATTGGTGTGCTCCTGCAGAAAAACTGCAAGCTACGTATGCTGTTGGATCTGGCCGGTGAGTTTCCCGAACCAGCATGTTTAGCACTGAAGACTCGGCCTGTGAGAGTGGTAGTACCAGAGCTTTGTTCTGAAGTCTGGAGATCATAGGCGATCTTCCTAGGTCTTTTAGAAGCTTATACAGCGATTCTAGCTCCCGGCTGCCAACTTGAGCAACGTCGTTAATGTCGTGAATAAATGTCATGATGTCATCGAATGACGAATACTCTATGAGAGGTTGTTTGTTAGTGAATCATCGTGAGTCATGGTAACTATTTTGTATAGAAACAGTATGATAATATCAAAAAATTAACTTCATTTCAATATTGTTGTATTGATATTGAAATTTTAACGTAAGCGATGATCTCAAATATTTTACTTGCGTTTGTCAAGAAGAGTAGTATATTATAATAAACATATTTATACGAAGTTAATAAAACACATTCTAGATGAATTATTTAAAATTTTACCAATGTTTTGATCGTACAACGAGAGAACACAATAAATAAAGTATCAAATCTTTGGTCAAATATTCAACCTCTATAAAAAAACTTGTACCTGCTCAAAATTCAAAATCATTGCCCAATAGAAAGTTTCTGTAAAAATTACACAAAAACACAACCAGAAAGTGCACTTCGACTAAACCTTAATAATATCACATGGACTATTATATATATACCTTAGGGGTCGTTCACATACTACGTAATCAATATTTTAGCAATTTTTACGTAATATGCGAACGACCCCTTAAGCTAGATTTGACATGCTAAACAATGTTCAGCATGTAAAATCTAGCTTAAGTGAACATACTGAGACATGCTTTAGAGTACATCACAACCAGCAATGTCTGCAAGTATTTTAATATTTAAGTGAGTCACCAAGGTGAAGAAAATCGCATATCAAAGTTTAAAACTTACTGCTTAAGTGACAAAAAACACTTTAATTTAATACAAATTTAGCACATAGTCTGTAGTTAAACATGAGAATATAAAACTTTTAAAAAATCTTTAACTAAGAATAAAAAGAGTCAAATCTTTCTAAACCTATGATATGCGGTTGCATCTTGGTTCTGTAATCAAGAAGACTCAAACTGTAATACAGCGAATTCATGGACGTGAGCAATGAAGGTGAGTTAAAGGTGATCCATATTTTTGAAAAAAACTGGTCTAGTATCACTCGAGTGCTAAACTGCGAGTGGCAATAGTTCACCCATACGGTTATGGGAGAATTTTAGTAAAAATGTGGATCGCCTCACTCCCATTGGAGTCACGCCTACTATAACACTCCTCAATCAGAGTATACGGGTACATACCAAAATATGTTAATATCGATTTGATATTGAAGTTTTTTTTGTTCAAAACCTAGTGCAGAAATTTCGGAAATACTGCACTGAGGAATTTGGTTACATATATCACACCATTCGTTTGATAACCAACCAGGCACCAGCATTGAAATCTGACTCTGCGTTTTAAATACGATACATGATATATCTACCATTAAGGTAAACGTATCAACTCAGTGTTTGTAGAAATGCGACAGTCTTTTATAAACCCTACTTTTAAACGTCTGTAAATCCTAGTAATCAGAGTTCTATTCACATGATTACAAACAGTTGAGGGTCGAATATTCTCATGAGTCCCTTCAAAAAGTACTGAGTACCAGGTCGTCTCTGGAAACGACCAAGTACCCAATCTGTGGATGTCTGTTTCTTGGGAACTAGTTTAGCGAGAAGAGTAGATTGAGCGGGGGATATGTTCGGACCTGCACACCTCAGAACTTCAATCATGGCTGGCTTTCCTAGATCTGTCAGTTCAGTCTGGAGAGCCTTAGTCTGAAATTAGCTTCGGTTAGTAATGCAATTAATACTTATACTAGCAATCATGAGAAACTATACTAACCTTATAAACAATAAACAGGGATATGTTTTAGCTGGACACTGAAATTGATAATGATCAACTGAAGAATGATTGATAATCTGAAGTAGAATAATAAGTAGAATATTAGCAAAATCTTAAAAAATGTAGTGCAGCATTACAGCTGGATGTGTATCAACAAGTTTAGTCCGCGGAAAGTAGTAGTATAATATCAGTCTGAAATATAATATCAGTATTCAGTAAGACCTAGTTTGTTGTATCAGTGTTGAGTCTTAGCATGTCAGAGTTTCTTTGATTTGTTCAGAGTTGGTTCAGTTTAGCGGTGTAAGCCGCTGCTATCGAGCCTATTAAATATACTATAAGTGTTAAAAGAGTGTTAAGTAAATGTACAATTTAAACGTTATAAACACTTGTTTAAGAGTTACAGGCTCCAAAATTTATTCAAAATTTGTGTTTGATTTCAGATTTAACACATTGAAATGGACAGTAAAAAACAGCACAATTTGTGAACTTAAGTTTTAATAACAAGCTCTTTTAAAATTGTTAACTTAATTACCTCTTTGGCTACCTCTGTATCAGTCCCACATCTATTCGAACTCCTCCTTTATCTGCCATTGTGCTATAACTTCAAGATTACTGTGATTAGAAATATGTCTCAGACAAATTATGAGGTTAAAAAGTAACAAATTTCGAATCTTTTCGTTCTTCAGGAATCAAGATATTGTAAATAATACGAGGCTAATAAAATAAACCATGTCTCTGATGATCTACTGATATTAGTGCAACATACTAACAATGGAACATCAGTATACTTTGATTCTTCTTTTAGATGAAAGCAATGATAGTCAGAGTCGTGTGAAACGATCATAATTTCCAAAACTAGAGAACACAAACTTTGTAATAAGTTAATCTCAGTATTATAGGTATTCAAATAGTTATACAAAAGTGACATTACATTGCACAATCTCAAGTAATAATTTAGGCCTCAGACAAAGTGCGATTCTAAGTGAAATGAGTTGATCCACCATTACGATTACAGAGAATCCTCCTCTGACATCAGAACATTCTTCTCTAACACTATGCAATGATCTTCTTAAACAATGCATTAACCTGAAAACAAAGTGATGATAATTCGAACGGGAATGGGCTTTATTTGACCTCTTATATTTTAGATAGCTAAAAAATAGAATTTACTACAGTGCAGAAATGATTGTTAAAAAGTTAATTTTCGAATAGATTTGCTTACCGGTTCAGTTTTAGCATACTTTGGGGCACCTCCGGCTGTCTGGTTGACAAGGGTTTCACGGATTACAAGTTGAGTCCATTTGTGCCTTGAAGCGAAGGTTGCACCTCCAATGGCTGTAGCCATGACTACAAAACCGAACATGCTCTTCTTCTTGAAATTCTCTTTTGCAGCATCTTTATCACCTCCACCATGTCCACCCATATTTCTATTGGTCTAAAATAAATTGGTTAGTAAAATTAATGAATAGTTGACTGGCAGGGACTGATTTGGCGAAAAAACCAAATCAACATTCAAGTTATAACCACATATTGTATAGGTGCTGATATTATAGTAAACATTTTTTAAAAGTAAAACAAAATTTAAATTTTATTGCCATTACAATGAATAATGATATGATAATAAATATAAGTAGACATCCGATAATAAGCTTGTTAGGTCCAGTACAACCTAAGATGTCGCCCAACTAACAAAATAAAAAGAGCTAGCATGTGCATAGTTCTTCAAACGCGCATACTTAGGCTGTACGGAAATAGCTATAATATAATTATACGTCATATTAAAAACTCAACATAAATTTGATTAAATTTTAAAGAATATCAGCAGTCAGAACTGATTGGCAGAACACAGTATATTAAAAGAATTTATTTATTTATGGATCTATATTTAGATATGGAATCATAGGCTATTTTCAAGATAGTTACAATGTCAGAAAATGGCAGTCTGACTTAGGAAAACAATATAATATATATAAAGAAAGAATTGTTGATTTGACAAGTGTCTTGTATTCATTTCGGGATCGTTGTCATTTCAGACCTCTCCCTAGCATACACTAATCACCTTGAAAATTTACTATCTTGTGAAAAAGTAAGCTGATGGTTCAAGCCATATTCTGATGGACTTTTGACATGTTCATGTGATTGTATGCCAATCTTCAGATTAATTTTGAATGGCGAGAGCCCGTGGATAAAATTTTTGAGGGGTGGTATCATGTGGCTGTAGTTATAATAATAATAATAATAATTCTATACTGTTACATAATTTAAAATTATGGCCCCTTATTGTGGGCAGAGTATGTGTCTTTATTTAAGTGTCCTGATTTAAAAATCATCTGAGTGACTGCATTGAAATAATTTAAGGAGAGAACCATAAAAACGTTAAAACAAAAGGAGTAACAACTAGAACATACTTATATTAATATTAACATTAGAACAAAATACAGTCACCTAATTCTCTTCTCCTACGGTTGAGTATAGAGGAACCATCTTTGGCGTGTATTAGGGACTTAGACCATTACAAATACCCTGCTGTAAGTTTGCAAGGTATGTGGACTAAGTGGGCCGAGAGTACTCGACTTGGAAGTGGGTGTTGAGAATTCTCAACTAAACTAGAAGATAATGATGTCCAGAAGATGAGGCAGTAGATGGAGTAGTAAAGGAGTAGTAGAGGCTGAAGGGGGAGTGATGTCATAAGGAGATGTAGGACATGAAGGGGGATGGAGGTGAAGGAGCACTATAAGTATAAGTATCAATTCTATGATAGTTCATCGATGGCGATCTGTGCTAAAGATCGGAAGGCAGTGATGCTGCCATCACTACCATCTCTTAAGATAGACCAGCATGGTTGGTCACTAGTGGAGTGCTCTTGAATGGTTTCTCTGTAGGAACAGCGGTACAGTGGACAAGAGAAGATTCGATGGTAATTGTTGTCCAACATCTGACAATTCGGACACTGAGGGTCGCAGTTGTTGGCAACCCTTGCCTTGAATGCTGTGAAGGTGATGTCATGGCATTACTTTAGTGTCTGTGCTCCTGCTTGAATAGCGAGGAAACAACTTTTTGCTCCTCTTATCGATATTATCCAGTATCTCACCCGGATTAATTCTAGGGTTCAGTAGGAGATGTTTATTCCACGTGAAGTCCATTTAAAGCGGGTTATTTCGTCTTTTGAGTAGCTGACAACACCGTTGTGGACACTAGTCAGAAGGTCTATTCTGCTTCTGTTGAGCTCGTTGGACCCCCTTGTCCACGTTAGGAACTTACGTATCTCATCAATATGGTGCTGATATCGATGGGCCTTTGCCTCCTCTAGCTGTAAGATGAGTCCTTGCATAAATGGGTCACTTGTAAGTGCTTTTATTATAAATTTTATGGTGATCATCTTGTAGGATATCTCAAGGGGTGGAATTCCAAGCGCGACAGATGTCAAATCTTTGGGAGGATGGTGAGTGGATCCACTTATTTTCAAGAGGACCCTGGCATAGAAGTCTTTGAAAGTGTCTAGGTTATCTTTTAGCCATATTGGAGCAGCATGGCATATAGAAGTTTTGTGAGTACTACTGTTTTGAAGAGCATTTTGAGTGAGCTTGCATTCAGGCCTCTGTGGCGGGTGGAGTTTTGAGTGATCCTGTACCAGGCAAACCAGCATTGTTTCAATTTAAATTTTGCGTGACTCTTGAAGGTAAGTTTGTCGTCTATCCTCAGTCCAAGAACAGTTGATTGACATGTATATGTTATGGGTCTATTGCCGATAATGAGTGGTCCAAAGGCTGTGACATCAGGTGCAGATGAGGATGTTGGTGTGATCATAATACACTCGGTCTTGTTTTTGTCGCAGTTTGGGATAAGTTTCCACTTACTGCACCAGACATGAAGGTACTTGCACATCAACTGCATAATTCGATGAGCACATATAGGATCTATGTGAGAGACTGCTATGCTTCCATCATCAGCATATTTGAAGAGGCTTGAGTTAGAGCTGCATTCCAGTGGGAGCTGGTCCTTGCATAACATATCCGAGATGTAGAGGATAAATAGCAGGGGTGCAAGGACAGAGCCTTGGGGAAGCCCAAACCATCCACATGAGCGTTGAAATCCGAGACTGTTGTTAACCCTCAGCCGTACTTTGCGGGATAACAGGAAGTTATTTATTATCCGCAAAATGTTCCCTTGTATTTGGTATTTGCTGAGCTTGAAAATCAGGCCTTTCACCCATACACTATCAAATGCTTTGCTAAAATCGATGCATAGTAGGAAAGTAGTGAGTTTTTTCCTCTTGCATTCATCTAGAGTAGCTACTAATTTATAAAGATACCTTGCAGTATTTCTTTGAGGTCTAAAGCCTTCTTGCTCTTCGTCGAGTAAGCCCTCTAGTTCGCAATGGAGCTTTATTCTTCGTTCCAAGATCTTTTCTAGCAGCTTTCCAACATATGATGATATCGATATTGGTCTATAAGCAGAGGGGTTCATGTAGTTATCTTTCCCATCCTTTTTGATGAAAGTGACATTGGATACCTCCCAGACCCATACACCAGTCTCAAGGACAAGGTCATATAGTTTTGTTAGAATCCGAAGAGCTGACACAGGCAGATGTTTCAGGATTTTTGGGTGAAGATTATCAGTGTCAAAACTTTTGGCATTGCTATTTTGAGCCTTCAGTGCTAAAGTAACTTCCTCTAGACCTATTTTCCCATTCAGATGATCATTAATGATGTGATCTAATTGGTCGGTAGGGAACTGAGTCGATATAATGTTGTCATAGCAGCTATTGATTTCTTGTTCGAAGACATGATCAAAACTGCATCCATTCATGTGTTCACCCGAGAAGAATGATTTGTACAAGATGTTTTCTTTCTGAGTTCTGTCAGAGTGGAGGATACCACCATCCATAAGATTTCCCATGTACTCGTTAGGCTTATTGGTCAATGCCTTCTTATAATTTTTCCAGAATATTTGAGACTGAGCAACATTGAGATTTTCCAGTTATAGCTAGTGGTCTTCTGAACTCAAATATAAATTTTCATCCAGATTGGACGACAAATAGCGGAGATGAGTAAAAAAACTTTGTACCCATAATTTGACGTACACACCATATCATTTGAAAGATTTTAGCCAATGATATAATTCAAATATCAATATATCAGTAATTCGAAGAAGTCCAAAATTAGAAAGGGGGGGGGGGGTTGGAGAAAAAATAAATAACTTGGCATTACAACTCTGTCGAGTGGAAATGAAAGGTAAGGACCACTCAAGACATTTAAAGGTTGTCTAATTATGACTCAAATTGGCCTTTCGAATAGTTCACCTGACCCGACTTAGTTTATATAATAAGAAAGCGGTCGGTTGCTTTTCCTATTGGACAAAGATTGAGTTCTACAGAATTAAATCGTCGAATTAATCTGGCTTGCAACTATAACACAACCATATAACTTTTAACCTACGTAAAACAAGTCAATAAAACAAGTAATCAGTATCAAACAGCTGAGCTGATGCGTGCTAAAATTGTTTTTAAGCAATAATCAGCAACACTTATGACTTAGATCAGAGAACCGACGGAATTGCGTTAACAAATAGTAAATATGACTGGATTAGCACTCAATTTTGTCCGATAATATTTTAACATAACAATATGGCGCACGTTATATCTCCGCCAAAAGCACATCCAATTTGATACGTATGAAATATGTCTATAACTTCCTTGGTTGTGCACTAAGTTGGCATTCCTCGACCAAAATTGAACGGGGAATCGTTTAAGATCACTTTCGAGACACCTCGACAAAAGCTTCTCACGCTATTGTGCTTTTTATGGAGAAATACGTCAGTAGCGTTTTTTTAACGGGTGATACTCGTAAAATATTTGTTCCATAGCCGTCGACGAGTCCAACTCGGCGCGCGTCCTGGTATTGCTCTAACCAGAGCCCTCTCGCTTGCAGTAGCGCGCGACCGCCGTAGTACGCGTAGACACATGGCTATGTGAAGTCCTGGTAGGTTGTAAACCTACAAGCGTTTTTGAGCTTGTTATTCTCTTTCAAAAGTATTCCAAGTGATTTATATGTTTATATAAGTGCATATATTGACTCTGGATACATTGCAAAATAATTTTCCTCGATTCATGAAGTTTGAAAGAAGTTACAGCAATGCGCACAATTTGGTGAGCTTGTGTTTTTGGCGGAGATATAAATTACTGCGCCTAACAATATAAGCAAATAAATCAAGCAATGGTAACTGTCTAATTATAATGTGGCTAGAAACTCGGCTGCATCTCAGCAGACGACGTTTGGCGGTTAAATCAGGTATGATTAATCGTCTTCAAAAAGAAATTTGCAATCACTGTCAAAAGAATATTGAATTAAGGCTTCCCCACTTCGAATGCTTTTACTGTACTGAAATTCTCCATGCTAAATTAACATAAAAATTAACATATAAATGTAAGTTATTATAAATT